AAATATATCTAAGATATATATCTAAAATATACCTCACATATACACAGTTTTTTTTTGGTTCAAATTTGATCGTTTTTCACGTTACTCGCGAAAGAAAAATTTATCGCGAGATTTTTCTCATAATATCTGCGCGATTTTTGTGGGTTATTGATTTCAAATCTTTTTTATTTGGTAACTAGATGCAAATCAAGCGGAAAAAAAAGGTGGAAGTTAGTATGAAAAGAGGGATAGAGTTATTTTTTTTTTCTTTCCTGGTTATCCTCCACAAATCACGCAACCCAGGATGGAGGAAGTTACAATTTGTTTAGGCAATCAAATAATTAAAGTTGGTTGATTAGGTATATACCAAATTATGGGAGATGCTACAGTCCCGTTACGGCACCATTCCGTCAGGGTTTGTAACCGTTAGATCATCGTGTAACCGTCGGGGATAGTTGATCTAACGGTTACAAACCCCGACGGAATGGTTCCGTAACGGGACCTTAGCATTTTCCCCAAATTATTTGTTGTAGGAAAGTAAATTTGAAAATACTTTATTTTCATGTAGTATGCATAAAATTTTCCCATTATTTTTCTTCACGTCTTACATAACCAATACGTATTTGTATAAATGTTTACTGCAACTTATATTTTTCTAAATTCTAGGTTTATAGGAGGCAGTTACGTAATTGCAGAGTCTAACACAATTATTTCGGTTGAACTGGGCCTTTTAATTGGGCCTTTTAATTGAAAAAACACAACCCATTACCCAAAGTTTTTAGTTCATAAGGTACACAAAGGAAAATAAGAAAGGGGAATTTATATCTCTGCCACACGTTTTGTTTTTAATTGCATCTATACTACCTATATAAAATATATTGCATTAATACCTAACTCTACCAAAATAATTAGTATTAGCATAAAAAAAAACGGTCATATTCCCTTAATTTGTGTAACTGATGAGATTACATTTGCCATGATTTTTGGTTACCAAAATTAATAATTGTCTTTCCCCATAAATAGGGCAACTGATATAATAATTGTCAAAGAGACCTTCCTAAAATCACGCACATATATGAATTCGCTGGAAAAGAAAAAAAGGTAAGTGAATATAAACTATTTTTTATGAATCTGTTGTTATTAGCATGGAAAGAAAATAATTTAAATTTTAAACGTACTCCCTCTCTCTCTCTTAAAATAAATTAAAAACACGATTAAGAAAGATAAAGTATATACACGATCACCACTTATGTATATTTTAAGTATATTTTATGTATATGTGGGATATGAATGAGATCCGCAGTTCATGAATCGAGTGTATATCTTAGGTATATTTTATGTATATGTGGGTTTTGAAATCGATTTTGATAAACGATTTAAACTCTATTGTATAATTAAAGTATATTTTATGTATATGTGTGTCTCGATCTGTCGTTGGCTTGAATTAGGAGAATCTCGAGTGTATATTTCATGTATATTTTATGTATATGTGTGTTGTACAACT